TTTAATCCTGTGAGGCAAGCAAGAGGCCCCAAACCAAGGCCAGAGGCTCAAGTCCCTTGAGGTTACCAAGTCAGTGGGGAAAAAAAAGCCAGACTGAGCCAGGAGTTCAAAATTTCCCACTCCAAGTTCCATCCCCTGCCCCCCACCTGCCACCCCTGCCCTGTGCTGAAGAGGGCAGTCTGCAGGACAGCATCCTGCAGTGTCATCTCTCTATCCCACCTGCCGGGGCCCTGTGCATCCCGGGCCAAGCCTGCCCTCTTCTGGGCTTGCTGCAGCCTTCCCCCAGCTCCCTCTGTGACTCAGAGCCTCTGTGTCTTTATTTGGGACCGGATTATGTCCATTGATCCCTGTTACACGGAAGCATCCGGTGGGAGCGTGGGCAATTACTCATCCTCAGAGGCACGGTGGCAGTTATGTAACAGAATAATTGGGAGGCTTCATCCTGCCCACATGTGGAAGTGATGTGTCAGGCACGTCCTCTGCTGAGGCAGGTCCGCTGTCTGCACGCTGGAGACCAGACAGGCAGGGGCCTCCCCACTTGCTTTCAGCGCTGGGGAGGCTGGGCTCTGGCTGCCTCCGTTCACAGCCTAGGAAGCCACACCTGTGCACAAGGACAGCGATGAATGAGCTCCTGTCCCCAGGCTTTCACTTCTGGGTCTAATAAAGATAGGCACAGTAGGCATGTGCCTACCAGAGCAGGATGCACATATTAACATTCCATTCCAGCAAGACCACTGCCAAGATGAGTGACCTTGAGCTGCCCTTTCCTGACCAGTAAAACAGAAAAGGTGAGCACTCTCTGTCAAGGGTTGGAGTCGGCTGAACAAGGTCAGGTACAGCAAATGGGAGCACAGAGCATCACCTTTGGAGACAGAATTCCCTGGGTTCGAAGCCAGGTGTCTCCATCTGTGAGACTCTCAGCAGCTGACGTCAGCTTTCCGCACCTCCATGGCCTCACCTGTGAAGTGGGGATAATACAGTGTCCCACCTTGTGGAGTTGCTCTGAGTATCCTGCCAGCCTTCGAGCTGATGCTGACTCACAGTGACGCTCCCTGTAGCATGGAGTGGACCTGCCCCTGTGGGGTTCAAGATGACTTTGAGAGGCCAGCTCTTCCTCGGGCATATTTTAAGTGCCTTCCATCCTGGGGGGGCTTCTCCGACCTGACAGTGATCTGCGGCCATCTGGGAGGTTTGCACTATCTGACACTATTTGATGCTGCCCGTAAGGTTTTGAGCGGCTAAGCCCTCTGACTGTTCGTAGCCTGTTCTTAGTCTGGAAGTGCTGCTGAAACCTGTTCCCTTTGGGTGACCCTGCTGGTCTTTGAAAATAACAGTGACATCGCTTCCAGCATCACAGCAACACACAAGGCCCCAGAGTGTAACAAACTGACACACAAGGGTGGAATCTCCTTAATGGTGACTGGTTATCAACATGAGAATGCTTGGCACAAAATCCCTGAACAGCATCCTTGGTGCCCTTCATGCCAATAACTAGCCCACAGCAATAGAGGCCATTCTGACTCGTAGTGCCCTATAGAGTGTTTCCGAGGCTGTAAGTCTTTCCAGGAGCAGACAGCCTCATCTTTCTCCCCTGGAGCAGCTGGTGGTTCTGCACTGGCAACCTTGTGGTGGGCCATCCAATGCTTATGTAACAGAGCCGCCAGGGCTCCTTCGAGTTCCTTGACAGTCTCTTAATATAACCAATTCCTTAACCATTGGATAAGATTTAAGAGAGTACACTTTTAGATTAACTTTTTTTTCCAAAACCATTTTGTTGGGAGTTAATACAGATATCATATCATTCCATAATTGCAATTTGAGTGAACGTTTACAGGGCACACTGGTTTTCCATCCAGCCAGGCATGCACCTTCTGCGTCGTGGCATCAGTTGCCATCCCCACCATGTAAGAGAGAGGCCGACGTTTTGACATTGCCTTTTGAGCAAGTGCTGGGGAATTTTTACTTTAAATGTCCATGCTCCGGTCTTCTTGCGTGCTTCACTCTTCTCTCCACGTCCCTACGGCCACTCTGTGTTGCAAGGATCTTTTCCCTTTTTATGTCCTTTCCCCACCACACAAAGGCAGGAGTGGATCTCAGTCATCTTCTTCCCCCAGCACCCAGCACAAGGTGGGTGCGAGAGAGCTTTAGTAAATGGGAGAGAGATTCTTCCCGTAGGTGGAGGCCTAGGGAAATGTGCTGCCTGCCAGGAGACAGGGCTGTACTTGGACTAGGTCTTCCGTCTGTGGACATCCCTCATACGCAGTTACCTGCAGTCACCTGGGCAGAAAGACAAAGTCTGTTTCTCGTCTTATAACCAGAAACGTCTCGCTTGAATGACTCCAGCCTTCCAGATGTCGCTAATCTCCTTTCACTGTTCGGCTGTGTGCTCAGTAAGACTCCACCTGTCACGTCTTGAGCGCAGTTGGAGCTTATTCAAGTGGGTCCTTGTTACTGAGCCCCGGTTATTACTGGTAATCTCCGTGCTTTCGAGTGATGGTGAGATGTCTCCAGATCATCTTGTCCATAGTCTGCCCTCGATTTGGATCAGGCCAGGTAAGAGTCCTGGGGTATGTTGGTAGGAACTGATGGTTAGAGACCACAACCTGGACACTAGGGGTGCTCGTGGCTGCTAGGCGTCATTGTTTCTAAGTCTCGCTTTGAGTAGACAGAGCTAGGAGAGATAAGAGGGCATGAGTTCACAGCGATAAGTTCTGTTTCATCCTCAGGACTGCACGCTTTCTTTAATCTCATCAGTTCTACATTTGCCTTGCTTTGCCTCTTACCCCAAACTCCAGTGTTCAATGACATCCGCCCGGTTACTCGTTGACTTATCATTAACATATAACTGTCTAAAGCCAGCTGCCACGTATGATGACTGTAAATCGCTTAAGGTTTGGTTTGGTTTTCAGTTGTTTTTGTTCCTAGAGTGCTCGCTCGGGAAATGTCGACTCAAGAAACTCTTCCTCCCTGTATGGCCTTCACATCGGCCAAGTCTTGAGTGTAGGTTTGGAGAGGGGCGGATTTTGCAGACATTTTGAGGCCCTCGTTAGTCTTATGACAAGGTAAAACATGCCCACAGTCCTAAGGTTGTCTATGGGACGTGGACTTGCCGCCTTCTCAGATGAATGGTGACACACCATCTAGGCGCGACCAGTCTAGCCACACATGTCCTCTGTATTCCCGCTCATGCTCCACTGCATGTATGTAAGGGAGTTTGTTCAGACAATAGGACAGAGATCGGAGGGGCTCCAGCTTCCCTTGTGACACATGGTGCTGGGTCCGTAACCTCGGGCCTGGGCCTTTTCATAGCGTTGATCTTTAACTGAGACGTTGAAGTAAGAACAAGAAATGGAACCAGCCAAATGTTTCAAGCCCTTGAACGGGCCCCCGCTCAACATGTGCCTAACCATGCGGCCTATGGTTCCTTTCAAGACTTTGAAACATTGACATCCCCAAAGCGGTGGTAGGAAGGGGTGGGCAGAGGCTTCGGGAAGGAAGTGTGAGCTGCCTTTCGACGAGAGAAGGGCCCGGGACCAGAAGGACTCGTGGGTATCACAGCCACTGCTCCGAGGGCTGTATCCAGGAGACGCCAAATCGTTCCCCTTCCCAGCCAGTGACGTAGCTGCCGTTCATTCCAGTTTGAGAGGGAGGAAACAGAGGTGGCCACTTTGGCCTAGGCTTGGGTTGTTTCCGTGTGGGCTTAGGGCAGTTAGTGATATATAGCTGACAATTAAAACCAGGATCTTGCCCATATGACCTCAGTGGTCCCCAGAAGCTAAGAGCTCTGTCTCTGAATTCAGACGCTGACTGTCTCCACTGACAAACGGCGAGGACTTGCCCATGTTACATACGGCTTTGCTCCCATTGGCTCCTTTATAGAATGGGGATCGCGTCCAGGTAGGATGGTTGTATGGGTCAAAGGGGTTAAGAAGGGTGTAACAATATGCAGCAAGTCATAAGCACCCTTGACGTGTAAGCTGGGTTTGTACCAATGATAGCAATTTGTTACGTGAACATGCTGGGGAGAGGGGGATTCAAAAAGTTCACAGGAAGATGGAGCAAAAAGACCACGAAATTCATGCATGCACTTAAAAGAAAGCTCTCTCGTGTAGACAGAGCATCTGCCAGGTGCCATGCTGGTCGCTGTGTGGTCAGTCGGTAGGAATGAGCGACTGAAAGGAGCCCTGAGCTCACAGTCCCCACAGGCTAAGACAGGACCAGCTAATCACATCACTAGGAAACCCCAAGTCCAGGCAGCCCCCGGGGTCCACGCAAGATCTCTGACTTGGATTGGTCCTGCCTGGTTCAGTCATGGCCGAAGAAGCACCACGGGGCAGACCTGAAGGCTTTAAGTTAGAATAAACCAGGAAGACAGCCAGAACGAAGGAAATGGCAGGTGGAAACCTTGCTAGGCGCTGCATCTCCCTCTTACTGAAGAAGGACAACCTAAGTAATGCACAGCAGCCTAACCGGTTGCCTGCAGACTGTTATCTGTCTGGACAGCCTGGCTCCCTTCACACAGGGTGGCCAGCCTTGTCCTCTGGATGTGCCCGGCCCTTCAACTATCTTGCCAATAATCAATCTCATGCATTAGACTCTTGAAAGGGCTCACGACACCTCTTTGAAGGTCCCATGCTATTGCTTGGGCTTGGGATTTTTGCAGTTCCAGGTGCCATGGTGAATCTGCCAAATTTAAAGCCTCCGATCTGTTCCTATTTCCCTCTGTCGGCATGACAGAACAGCTGTCAAGAGCAAGGAGGAGTGGCCTAGCAATTGAGCTTTCCTGTCTCGGGCACTGCCTTACCCTAATTGCAGGAAGGGGGAGCCTATGGGAGCTGGTCGTCCTCTGATCCCCAGCTCCAGCCCAGAAGCCCCCACAATGTTCACACGTGGTTCCGTTTCAGTTAAAGAAGATCCCAGAACATTGTACACCTCCCCCGAGGTGCACCTGGTCTGTCCCCTGAGAGACCACCCCCTCTCCCCTCCCTCCTCCCCCACAGCTGGAGTACACGGCCCGCCTGGACTTCCTGTGGCGCGTGCAGGCCAAGGAGGAGATCAACGAGATGAAGGAGCTGAGGGAGCACAACGAGAACATGCTCCGGAACATTCTGCCCAGTCACGTGGCCCGGCACTTCCTGGAGAAAGACCGAGACAATGAGGTGAGCCCAGGCTCCGCCCGCCAGCCCGAGGGATCAGGGATCGATGGGAGGCGTTCCATAGGCACGGCTACCTCACTAGGGAGAACTCCGCCGTCCTCGTGTGAGTGCCGACTGGCCCATGGCCCCAGGCTGCCAGCGGCCCTCACGACAGGGCACGTAGCTCCCCCAGCTCAGGCACCCCAGCCGTGGGCCTGTGAGGTGGATTTCATCTCAAGTCCAGCTCTAGACTGAATTAAGACATTGAAGATTTGCATGTGTGCATGTCTGTATCTCTTATTTATAGGGGTGTGTGTGTGTGTGTGTTTACCAAGGGGGTTCAAAATGCATGGAACATGGCATCAGAAGAGGATGGAAGTTTGACACAAACGTTTTGAAGCCCGCTGTATGCTTAGAGGAGACCTGGTGGGATAGTGGTGATCCGTTGGGCTGCTAACCTCAAGGTCAGCAATTTGAAACCATGCCACGGAAGAAAGACAAAGCTTTCTACTCCAGTAAAAAGTTCCAGTCTCGTCAACTCACAGGGGCAGTTGTACCCAGTCCCGTGGGTCGCTCTGAGTCAGCACTGACTAGGCGGCCGTGAGTTTGGTTGGGGTTTGTGTGTGTAGAGACACACACAGCCATCACCCGTCTGTCTGTGGAAAGGTCTGTGCATGCTGAACACAGTCCCTTAAAGCAGTGGTTCTCAACCTGTGGGTCGAGACCCCTTTGGGGGTCGAATGACCCTTTCACAGGGGCTGCCCAATTCATAACAGTAGCAAAATTACAGTTAAGAAGCTGCAACAAAAATAATTTTATGGTTGGGAGGTCACAACAACATGAACTGTATCAAAAGGTTGAGAACCACTGCCTTAGAGCTTGCAGGCTAAGATGGACTAAGGAGAAAAGAGTAGCAATCTGTTTCCAAATATCAGTCAGCTTAAACTCTGGGATGACAGCAGTCTGTCCACAATCCATCATGGAACGGCACAAGACAGGGCCTCCTCATTTCATCCATTGTGCCCGGGGTAGTACTGCTGTGTGTGTGTGTGTGTGTGTGTGTGTGTGTGTGTGTAATGAGGGATGCATAGGACTTCAAAGAAATGGAGTAAAAAGATAAAAGAAAATTTCCCACAAACTTTCTGAAGTCTTCCAACACATAATATATAGAAATATATGTGTAGGTTTGTGTTTATGGGGGGTGGGGGGCGCTGCATGCGCAGTATAAGGAGGGGGCTTCAAAAAGTTCATGGAAAAATTCCATTACCTTTCAGTTCAGTTTTTCTATGCACTTCTGAAAGCCCCCTTGTGTGTGTGGGGGTGGGTGGGTGGGGGTGTTCATCTGGGCACATGACCCAGCACGCAGTAGGTGCTCACCAACTGTCCCTTATGTAAAGTTGCCTCTTATGATAGACACCTTCGTGGCCACTTGGCAAAGGCGCATCAGCTCACCCCCTACTCTGGTGCCATGGGGTCTGGGGTACTGCGGTGAGAATACAATACATCACAGGCCAGAGGCAGTCAGCACCCTGGGGTCAGAAGGGGAAGGTTAGGGGCCAGCGTAGAGGTATCACAGGGACAAAGTCTCAAAGAGGATTGAGGCGCTTGGGTTTGCCTCTGTGAGCGTTGGGAGGAGCAAATGGGCGTTTCCTCCAGAGGAAGCTGAGGTGCAAAGAAGGAAAGGGTCTATGATCACCGGGCCCCTGAGTCATGAGTGCCCACTCAGACCCAGAGGGCCTCACGCTGAGGTGTCCTTGGCCCTGTCCCCCACTGTGTGCGCATGTGCGGGTGGGGGTGTGCAGCGAGAGAGTGGCAGGCTGGGAAGTAAATAGGGATCCCTCCGTCCCCCCCC